TGTACATGCGTATGTGAGTTTGTAAACTGTGAGTTTTCATTCACAGAGGCCCTAATTAGAGATTCTACAGTTTCCTCACGACACCACCCAGTGTGTGCTTCACCGTATATCACTGCACAAACAGCCAAGGGAACATTTCTCTTCCTTGAGGTTCACATGTCACATCCTTTCATCTCATCTAGGTTGACCTGCGGGGCTCAAACATGCCATGGATACTGCTACACCTGCATAACGTGGTATTAAACCATTTCATAACTCGCTGATAATGTTACTGTTATGGTCACTACTGTTATTGTTCTCAAGCACACATATATTAAAAACACACATAAACACTTGTAAACATTTACAGTAAGTGTACACCTATCGTTCCTATGTGTAGCGCACTCACACACACACATACACACACTCCCCCCCACCCCCGACCGGCCAGCCATTGCATCATGTTCTAGAAATGTCTCCTGCTTTGACACACAGCTCTTGAACTGGTGCCTATCACCAGACGCAGAGCACAGTGTGATGCCCTCTGGCCTATCCGAAGCACAGGAGACATGAAGGCACATGTGTACAGGTTGCTGTACACCCTCTGTTTATCAGCCAACATTCTTTTTTAATGTCTCTGAAATCAAGTCTAGGATTACACCAAGGCTGCTCAATTTAGCAATTAAAAAAATCTAAAAAGTGCATAGTGAATATATATGGCGGGGAAAAAAGAAATCAAATCAAAGTGCTAATAATAGGCTAATATCAACACTTCTGAATTATACATATTGCTTCAGTTAATGTATAATTCATAGCAACCAACAATATTTTGTACAACCACTCCAAAACATGTCCCAGACAGATGTACGCTCATCTCTGTCTCTGTACTGCAAGCATCTGAGATCTACCAACTTTGGAGACTTTGGAGACTTTTGGAGCGCTCTTAAATATTGCATTCATAAGAAGCTTCATAAGTAACTTTTTTAAGTTTGTGAGAAGCAGCGAGAAGTGACTGATTTTTTGTTTTATCCTTTACTTAACCTTCACCTTACACCTGAATTTTGAGCTCCAAACTGTGTCACCTGAAATGTTTTTTCCAGGTCCTCATAAGAAGTCTGAAAGTTTTCCAACAGCTGGCGTCCTGGACAACACAATCTGAAGTGTCATTGCTCCTCCCCTGTTATTATCTCCACCGGGCATAATCATGCATTTGGTCGTGTGCGCATCTGCCCACAGCTAATCTCGCATACTACTACACCCATTAGCCTGATATATTTTGTGTACATTTATGACTGCATTCTCATAATCCTCTGGAGGTTGTGGTGGTTGTCAATTTCTTGAAAAACCTATTTTATTGACTGAACCTAGTGTAAAGCTTAGACTTTCGCCATTTTACGATCTGAGTTACGTTTGGGAGGGGTTTTATTTTGTGTGATGTTTACGACAAACAGTTCTAAATAAATGACAATGTTTAAATTGAGACGTTTGGACTTATTGTGCCATTTATTGTTTCCTTATTATGTTTATACAGCGACAGTACCATTACACTATTGTATAAATCTCAAAGAAAACTGAGACTACACTATACAAAACTATTATAGTAAAGCACTCCTGTGGTTCAAATCTTACCTCTCGGGGCGTTCCTACAATGTTTTGTGGCAAGGACAATTATCCTCCTCCCACTGCCTCTCCACAGGGGTACCCCAAGGCTCAGTGCTTGGGCCCCTTCTCTTCTCAATTTACACCACCTCACTGGGGCCGATCATTCGCTCGCACGGCTTCTCTTACCACTGCTACGCAGACGACACGCAACTCTACCTATCCTTCCCGCCAGGCGATCCCACTGTCTCGGCGCGGATCACGGACTGTCTATCAGACATATCTGCATGGATGAAGGCTTGCCACCTTCAACTAAACCTCTCTAAGACTGAACTCTTGGTAATTCCAGCCAAGCAATCTATCCACCATAAACATGAAACTACAAATTGACTCCGCAACCATCACTCCAACCAAGGTGGTGAGAAACTTGGGTGTCATGATTGATGACCAGCTGTCCTTTTCAGACCATGTTGCTAATGTCTCTCGGTCATGCCGCTTTTCTCTATACAACATAAGGAAAATCAGGCCTTACCTCACTCAGTACGCCACCCAGCTTCTGATCAGCCCAAAATGACTCATGTCACTCCATTACTCAGTGACCTCCACAATCAAATTCAAGTCACTAATGCTTGCATACAGAGTGACTACTGGGTCTGCACCCATCTACCTAAACTCCACAATACAAACTTACGTTCCTTCTCGGCCGCTACGCTCCTCCAACGAACGCCGCCTGGCTCTGCCCTCCCTACACACAAAGCAATCCCAGTCCTGGCTATTCTCATCTGTGACACCACGATGGTGGAACGAGCTACCACACGCCATCAGAGCAGGGGCGTCCCTCTCTAACTTCAAGAAGCTCTTGAAAACTCATCTCTTCCGAGAACACTTCCTATTATAACACCTCTAACTCCTAACCTCTAACATGCACTTCCCTTTTGATTGCACTTTTTGCTAACTCTTACTTCCTTCCCTAGGTATCTACCCCATTGATGTGATATGTACTGTGAGTTCTTACTAGTATTTATTGCTGCTCTTACTAGTATGTATTGTCAGTTGTAGATCTGTAGTTGATGCTCTGTTGATATCCCAGTCCTGGCTATTCTCATCTGTGACACCACGATGGTGGAACGAGCTACCACACGCCATCAGAGCAGGGGCGTCCCTCTCTAACTTCAAGAAGCTCTTGAAAACTCATCTCTTCCGAGAACACTTCCTATTATAACACCTCTAACTCCTAACCTCTAACATGCACTTCCCTTTTGATTGCACTTTTTGCTAACTCTTACTTCCTTCCCTAGGTATCTACCCCATTGATGTGATATGTACTGTGAGTTCTTACTAGTATTTATTGCTGCTCTTACTAGTATGTATTGTCAGTTGTAGATCTGTAGTTGATGCTCTGTTGATATCCCAGTCCTGGCTATTCTCATCTGTGACACCACGATGGTGGAACGAGCTACCACACGCCATCAGAGCAGGGGCGTCCCTCTCTAACTTCAAGAAGCTCTTGAAAACTCATCTCTTCCGAGAACACTTCCTCTTATAACACCTCTAACTCCTAACCTCTAACATGCACTTCCCTTTTGATTGCACTTTTTGCTAACTCTTACTTCCTTCCCTAGGTATCTACCCCATTGATGTGATATGTACTGTGAGTTCTTACTAGTATTTATTGCTGCTCTTACTAGTATGTATTGTCAGTTGTAGATCTGTAGTTGATGCTCTGTTGATACTTGTATGTTATTCCTCAAATGTAAGTCGCTTTGGATAAAAGTGTCTGCCAAATGAGTAAATGTATTTAAAACAGTGAATTCATCTATATAATAAAACAAACAAACAAAAAGATTCTCCCTACTGTAATGCATACAAGATGGACACACAGCCTGCCATGCACTCCCTGTTCCGCAGTCGCATGCCCCAAGACACACCTGGCGAAGATCTGCACTTTACTGAGTGCACTCTCCCAGTTCTAAATATTGTTTTTTTAACCTACCCATTAAAACAAACTGAATACCGCACACCTTGTCTAAGTAAAAACTCTAAGGCAATGTGTGTGTTTGTATATGTGTAGAGAAGGAGAGTGAGACACAAAGAGAGCCATTTCCTGTAGTATTACTTTCACGACAGCGAGACCTGGCAGAAAATCAAGGAGCCGAACATTATGTGCGGGCTGCAACAGTCGATGTTAAAGTATAAACATGGCCGAGGTCGTTACGCTTTGAACGCCAGCCTTTCTGTCAGACACAGAGACATAAGAGGAAAACAACACAAGCTATAATCGCCTTCAAAAAATAATAAGCCTTCTGTCTGTGTGTCTTACAATAGAAGCCATTCTCTATGTTTATGGTAGGAGAGGAAAGACTGACTGACCGACCGGCCGACACACTGGCAGCAGCACCAAGCAAGCCCACAGCTGTTTTTTACTAAAAAGGCTGAGAAAATCTGTACAGTTTCTAACAAACAAAGTGTTCTACACTCTCTATCCCTGTCCATCACCTCTCTTGCTCTAACCCTCTTTCTTTCCCATAATGCCTACCTTTGAGTTTACAGCAACGCAGTTGAGTCATTTCATACATCAAGCAGATACTGATCCTATAATTACAGATCACTTGTCCACAATGCTCCAGTCAATGAATGGTAATCAGAGGGAGTCCGTGACCCCTGCCTGCTGATATTAGGAGCAATCCTCCACATCGCAAAATCATTACATAAACCAATTGGAATGAAAACATTAGTCGTCTCAATTGATTTCTGGGAGGAAAAGATCTCCAGTGCATATTCTCATTATGCGTCTCAATGGACCACTTCACAATGAGCAGCATGATGGATTCTGGAAAGGTGCTACTACACTACCATGTCTGCACACAGCAGCCAGTCAATACGAAATTTTCCCACTGCTCCATACAGAAATGTCAGACTTTTTTTTCCCAGGCTGGTTTACATGCCAGTGATTGACTTCGTAATCGGTATAAAGCAGGGGTTTTCAAAGTCACCCTCCCCCAGCACCCCAAGTAAGATTTGAGACAAATGCTGGGGATGTAAACAGGAAGTATATTGTTGCAATGGAGCCAGTTAATTAGCTCTGGGATATAACTTGAGCCCTGTTTGTATCACCTGTGTTTGTTTACATTTTGACAAATTGGCACCATTAAAAGCATGCCAAATTAGCTATTAGCAGTTCCGGTTTGCAATGTACCGATAAGTGTACAGACAAGGATCACTGAAGAAAACCTGATTATTCTCAGGCAAGTTCTAGAGTTATAAGAAGCGTCTTTTTTCTACGTTTTCTTGTCAGATTTATGGACATTTAGTTGGATGGACATCAGAGATAATGGAAGGATCTTCCCTTTAACTCTGGGGAGGTATGGCTCACAGTTTCAAAACCTATAGTATAAGTGGAGCATATAAGAAGGAAAGAAGGGAGAATAAACTCTCCACTGTTATATGCACATTAACACACAAATACACTTACTTCTCTGGCAGTGGTTCTGTGACCAGCATCGTCCCCTGAAGTGTCCGTTGATGGTGTTCTGTGAGCAGATGGTCTGACCTTGGGCCGTGCCGGGACAAACATCTCCGCACTCTCTCTCGTTCTTATTGGCCACGATGAAGTTGTCCTCCACTGAGTCTAGGATCTTGGACCAGTCCAAGGTGGCCAGGTAGCACAGGTCTGGATTCTTCTCGATCCTCACGGCGCCCCGGGTGATATTCATGAGACTGTAGAGGCCCACCTCCTTCAGCTGCAGCATCTCGTAAATCACGAGTGCGTAGTTGAAGAAGAGGTTGTTTCCGCGGATCACTGTCAGGTTGGGGAACAGATCGCTGAGGGACTCGAGGCCGTAGACCCTGAACAGCAGCATGTAGTCGGTCACCACTCGCAGCTTCGGGTAGCTGAGGCCCCGGAAGTCCTCGGTCTTGGTCTTAAACATGAGCAGAATCTTCAGGTGGCCCTCGATGATGGTGCAGTTCTCCAACGACTGGAGGTTGGTCACATTGTTCCGGATGTCCTTGCTCTGGCAGACTGGAAGGATAGAAAAAGTAGGGAGAGGTGAGAAACAATAATAAGCCAGTCATAAAACAAGAGAGCACAGAGGGAATGTGCATTTACACTAAGCTGCCACTTTATTACGTACACTTAGCTAAAATTATGCAATTTAAACAGCACTGAAATAAATTCCACCTTCAAGAAATTGTTGTTGAAACTGTTTAAGTGTTAATTCAACTTTACGGTCATTTTGGAGGCTGTGGTTTGTTATGCCGTTGAACTACACTAGCTGGCCACTTTATTGGGTACACCTTGCTAGTACTGGTTTGGATCCCCTTTTGCCTTCAGAGCTCAGTGTTTCCCATACATTGATTTATTTATGGCGGCCAACACAGTATCAACGCCAACCACCACATTTAAAATCATGTTTGATTGCAGAGCTGCTTGCAACGCATATATTTGCTCAGCACTTCGTTCCCTCTCCCACTCCCTCTCTCTCTCTCTCATGAGCACCGCTGCACAAATCTGTCCAACACAATTGCTGTCAATTTTGGAACTGCCTTAGTTCTTCATATGGCATACTTTCAACAAGGTGTTGGAAACATTCCTCAGAAACTTTGGTCCATATTGACATGGTAGTATCACGCAGTTGCTGCAAATTTCTCTGCTGTAACTTCACGATGCGACTCTCCCGTTCCACCACATCCCAAAGGTACCTGGTTGGATTGAGATCTGGTGACTGTGGAGGCCACTGGAGTACAGTGAACGCATCGTCATGTTCAAGAAAACAGTTGGGTTTGTACCTAAGGTTTGTACATAATAAAGTGGCCGGTGAGTGTATTTGCATTCAGCTGAGTGGAACTGATTCATGGACTTGTTTTTTATGTTTCAGCATATTTATGCAATGTAAATGTTTTCATGTTCATGTTTTTACTCCTATAGAAAACAATAAGAGAGCACATCACATTCAAAATGAAACATGACATTCCTCGCAATTAGCTTGATTATGGTTTACAGTAACAGGCCAAAAAAAAAGATTCATCCGTGATTTACAACAGTCTAAAAACAACCAGATATGAAAATCAACAGATCATTCTTTTACCCCTTTAAGCCATTAAACCACTAGTGATTTGTATTAAGTAGAGCAGAGTCATTCATGAAGCAGCTTCACTAAAATCCCCTCTACAATCTGACTGGCCACAAGGGCCCTCTCCCTCCCCTCTCTCTCTCTCTCTCTCTCTCTCACACACACACACCGAGTCTCTCTGTTCTCATTGGCTCCAGCAATATTTCTCCAGAGAGAAAATGATTCTATGGCACCGTCTGATCTGAATGAAGCAGACATGAAGGGGTTAACAGAAATGAAGCCTAGAAGCAAAATGCTTATCCATGCTCATTCATACTCTTTAGCTGCTGCACACTGGCGCGCACACAAGCCCACATTTGGACCGGAAAATGCATGCACACACACTCACATCAGAGGAGTGGAGAATTCATTAGGGGACAGTTAAGGAGATGTACAGAGAGAAAAGGCGTGCTGCTGCTGTTGCATGCTTGGTAAGATGCACATTTCCAATGTATCCCTCTGCAAAATTAGTAAGTGGAAAGAGAGAACGCCTCATAGCTTAAATTATATAAAACAGGTGTCACAATGAAAACATAATTTATATTGTTGCAATTATGTCAGAAAGCTAGACACATTTTATTTCATCTTTAAAAAAAAAAAAACAGGTTTACAAAGTTACCAAGAGGACACAGAGCGACAATACTTCTCACACATGATCAGCTGTCACATCAGTGAATCAATCATGGGTTAGTAATTGACTAGCATGTTTATTGACATTGTTTGTGAGGGGTCTGAGACGTTTTGTTCTCTCAACTGCAATCAATTATGCACCATAGAAACAAATAAGAAGATACCTCCTAAGCATAGCCCAGATTCATCGCCGCAACACTAAACGTCCTCCTCCCTTGAATCATCTTCAACAAAAACATCATGAACACCCATACATGCGGGACATTTCTCTACCAGATCAACCAAATATATGATCAGGTTTGTTCGTCAACACCTAGGCCAGTCAAAGTGTCTGCTTATGTGAACAGACTTGCTGTTTTAAGTAGAAGAGATATGTTTTACTGCTTGGCACAGCAATGCTGAGGATGATGTTTTTAAATGCATGCAAAAAATTCCACAATGTCGCCACACCCTATTTACTTTCAGTGAACACGCTCATTAAACATATGATACTAATTTGTTCCACATGTACCGTGTCAACAATCCTACCAGCCATAACGGCCCAAAACAGATGGTATGAACAAAACCAACATGCGACAAGAGTGGATTTTAATGCAATTTGTTAATGAACATTACAAACGTGTTTCCACTACAAGAAACAAAACATCAGGTTATTTCTCTCAGTCATGTATTGGATTACAATTACACAGACCTTTATGGCCAAGACAAATTTTGCCAAGTGACAAATAAGTTTTTGAATCTTGAACTAGAAAAGAGCAGCTTGTAATTTTAAGATGCTGAATTTAATGAAAGAAACTGTTCCTCTTTCACAGTACGAAATTAATCATATTCAACATTAAACCATTCTGTTAATCAAATTTGTCATTACACTGACTTCCATTTGTACAAACAAAGTAGTGAAAACGGGCCTGGCCTTGTGCATGTAGGGTAAAATGAGCCCCTTATCACAGAAGCAATCTAATGTCTCCATCTAGTCTGCTGCTTTCGATCTATGATACAGACACACCTGCTAATCACACTCGGTCTGTGCCTCTACATGGTGTGAACCCCATCTGCTCACCCCTCCCCATGTATTACACTCTATCCACACACAAAAAAAAAAATAATCAATCCCACTGCAACATGCATCTTAAAATAGAAATAAAAGTCTAAATGCATTGCAGTAGTCTTGGTTCTATTGAGCGGTTATTGGCCCTCATCATTCCCCAGGTGTAAGCTACCCATTAACTTCCCATTCTGTTAATGGTTAGCAAGACGAACATGTCAACAATCCAGGTACAAACTCTGATCATCAGCACATCAATGGCACAGTTTAAGGGACTTCTTATAATGGACAGGAGCCAAACTACTTACTACAACAGCATGTTGAGCAATACTGGTGAGTTGTTCAGATGTGGATTTTGTCAGAGTGGAAAAAGTCAGACCAAGATATCAAATGGTCAGAACATAACGTAAGTGCCACTGGTAGCCTCTTGTTAGACTATATATTTGAATATCCATGCATAAGTGCATGCATCAGGCATAAGTGTTTCACATATTTTAGCATGTGTATGTGTATATTATCTCTTGATTTTATTTTCTGTGGATGTGACTGATAAATAAATCAGAATAAATAAAAATGGCTTCACAATTCAACATTCTATCTATTCAAAATATTTTCAGTGAAGAGAAATACCACACGATGTGGGACTAAATGTCAAAATCTTGCTATTTGCCAGGTAGAGCACCTGACCAAAGAGTGATGAAACATAGGCATGTTGACAATAGTTCTCCTTTTAGACCTGGTGACAAGACATTTAAGACAAAAACTAATTTACTGCAACACTGTATTAAACAGTAGCCATCAACGGTGCTCTAATCTGCCTGCCATCTTGTTAAATTGAATTACTGGACATCTAAATGTGTTTATATTTGTCACAATACTGAGACCTGAACTAGAGGAAGATCAGGTTGCACTACATCCCCACTGGGCAACATCTGTCCATGGCATCGTGTTAGCAGCAGTGTACACAAACTTCACAAGGAAGAAGCAAAGAAGAGTTTTCAAAACTAAATGAAAGCGTACCAAAATATTTTACCATGATAAAGAAATGATCCCAA